AAGCAGCTCCTAAACTTACATTTCGCATACTCAAAACAAAATCTGAGCAGTTCTCAATTTTTAAGCACCTCTCAAATTAAGTTGCACTCAAACTCCACTTAAAATGAATTTTCGCATACTGAAACGCCATTCAACGCTAAGCATTACTCAAACAACTGTCAAATCGTCTTAAGCAGCTGTTAAACTTGAGAGTGCTTGCGCGGTATCTTAAATCCTATTCTTATACCTAAATCGACCAAAATAGTGGTAAATAATGTGTGTCATCGTTATCATTTCTTTCGAGCCTCGAGGAAATACCTAGATCTAATCGCAGGAATGCAATAAGGCTGAACGCTATTGAAAAATATTATTATAATGACATGCAACTCCGAGCGAGGTTCCGCGTCTCTAAAGAAACGGTGTTGTTTCTGGATTCATAATTTGGAAGCTCTTTGAAACCCCTCACCAAATGCCATACAACCAGTGGACCAAAATATACTTATTATAACCCTACTGTTCTACGCAACGGGAAGTTATGAACGTGTACTAGGTGATATCTTCCACATCTAACAGCCAACTGTGCATAGTATAGTGCACGAAGACACGAAGTAACAACCAAAATAGCTGCTATGAAATCGCTTTACATAAACATGCCTATTTCTGAGGATTAAGGGGACATCGCATAGCAGCAAGCAGCATTTCCAAGAGATGTTGATTTGTCAATTTGATGCTCTGTCAACAAATGTCAATTGTGGTTACGTTTCGGTCCACGATCGCTACTTAATAGATTTTAACAATAAAATGTATCACATTTAAAATTATTTTTTTAATTAAATAAAAATGCAAGCATTAATTTTTATATGATAAAACGAGATTGATATATAATAGAAACTAAAAATAAACTGTTCTATGTTAAGTTGATTGAGTATATTTCCATAAAAGACAATACATAACCAAACGATGCTGCGTGTAATGGATAAAAGACGTAAAGTTATCATTTGTGTAAATGAAAACATACTTTTTTTGGTAAATGTTGCCATTATGTAAACATTTGAGAGCTGCTTAGCTGATCACGGCTTCAAATCCGTTGAGTAGCGTTTGAGAATACCATTTAAAATTGAAGGATACTTAAATTTAGGAGCCCGTCAGCTGAGTGACAGATTTGAGTAGTGTTTCAGTATTCGGCCGTTTATCGCACGTTACTCGTAGCAAAATGTACTATGGCCTGACAGGCCAAAGTGAAGTAATGATGACTGAGTACACTATTTGCTACGACTAGCAAGTACACAGGTGCAGTAGCGAGTGTACTAACTCGTTGATGTCTAATGTTCCACGATTACAAATGCCAGCTAATATTTACAAATGCGAATGTAACCTGTATGTTTGTAAGGTTTTTACGCCATAACTGCTGAACAGATTCTAGTGAATTTTGGTACAGAAACAGATTGGGGTTTGAAAAAGGACACGGGATTTTTTTTGTATTAGTAAAGTAAACAAATAATAAATATTTGTTACAATTAAAAATCTATATCTCTAAGGCTGGGTTGCACCATCTTACTTTAACTTTGACAAACGTCAAAAATCTGTCAAACTCAATACAAAAAACACCGGTTTTCGTTAAAGTTACGGTCAAAGTTAGGTGTTGAGTTGCACCACCTGAATTAAAATACTCATGATCGTTAAACTAACATTAGCTCCCAGCGGGATGAAAACTCGCGGCAACTGGCGCTTCATCTAAATCCAGTCGGCCATTGCCTTTAATCTAAAGATGCTCCAGATCAAATATTCATCGATCAATGTACTCTGTCAGAGACGAGCTAAACCAGCCGCGTTATTATTAATCACGACTCTAGTAGCTAAAAACAAACAATAAAATCAGTAGATCATTTTCAAACGGTGCATGCGCAGATATTATAGATGTTACGTTAATCGAGAAAAAAAGGAGTTAGGTATAAGATAAATAAATGGCCAAAAAGTTTATTGATTTTCTGCGTGACGATTCGATCCAGTTGGTTGAGTCGAGATTTTTTAATCTCTGCTTAAAATGGGTAAATTACTCTGTAACTATTAAAACAGATGCTATACCAACCTCATCATACACTGGGCCAAATACATCATAATTCAATGTTGAATTAAATAATGTCATGTTGTCAATGTTTTTTTGTATGGAGTTTGACAGACTTTTGACGTTTTAAAAAGTTAAAGTAAGATGGTGCAACCCAGCCCTTAGTGTTAATGACACAGCAAACTATGTACTTAATAAACATGTGTTTATTAACCTACTCTTTAATTATTATATTTTTGTATTGAATTTATCTTACCTGATTCTACTACAGTACTATATCCATGAGTATTTGCGCAAGTGCCCATGTTTTTTTATTTACAGAATATCAGTATCTCTATATCTGGTATAGCTGTAAGTCGAAGTTATTTAAACTTGATCAATAAATTAGACACTGGAAATATTTTGACAAATCACTTTGACCCGACCTTACTAATTGCCACACGAAGCGAGCAGGTATGCAACTCCCGTTAAAATAGCTTGTAATTAATTTATTGTTATCAGATCGAAAACATTGGGCATAAAGTTCAACGACCCAAGTCCTCAATACGTCACAGCGCGTGCTCAGCAAAAAAGTTTCTTAGGTTGGCTGACCACTAGAGAGCTTGAAACTACAGAAGCAGGCATATCGGACAACATTGCAAAATAACTTATTTTACAATTTATAAGACGAAGTAGCTCAGTTGCAAAAGCAGTCGCCCAGCAAGCGGAAGGTCGTGGGTTGAATTCCCGTCTTAGGCAGTTCGATTTTTACAAGTTATTTATAATTTTCAAATTATAAGACATAGATGTCAAGGTTCATGTACCGTCTTCTTATAATACCCTATTACTGCGTGTTGTTAATTACGACAGACCTTGGACAAGCGAAGTGATCACATAATCTAATTTGCCTCAAAAGTTGCATAGGCTACGTACTTGTATAGTAGCTCTGTTATTCATGGGTAAATGTAAAATAGGTATATTGTTTTGTTTATACTCGTAATATCTACATTTTTGTCATTATCAGTTATGAAAGTTTTCTTTGTATCTTAGGTCTGCCGTTCTGTCACACAGCTGTAGTGAATATCCACCCTTACGCGCAGTCCGCAAGTCGACGAATGGACGTGATGCTGTTTTTTAGTACTACGACTCAAATATTGTACTGTTAAAGGCATGATTGAAATATGCAGTCATTCCTGTTTACGCTACAATACATACGATCCGAAGTTATTTGACAACGGTTTAAAAATTCGATGTTTGGATTATTAATATTATATTATCATTCTTATGCGGATAACAGTTACTGGTACAACAGAACTCAAGCATGAGTAGTCCATGAGTAAGACAGTCAGACTCACGGCTCAGAGATTTTGGATTCGATTCTCAAGGTCCCCACTTCAATCAAGGATATCGCAGATTTAAATCAAATTGTCCGAAAAAGAAAATGATTGCGCACCTATGTCGATCGCCTATAATAATAACGAGTCATTAAGCGCTCAGTACCTCTAGTAGGAAAAACTTTCGAGTTCGTTTCGTTGCGTATTCAAAGTGTCATCGAAAAATTTTGTATGAAAAATTAAACAGCGCCCCCTATATTATAGCCGCCCTAGGGGGCGCTGTTTAATTTTTCATACAAAATTTTTCGATGACACTTTGAATACGCAACGAAACGAACTCGAAAGTTTTTCGTACTAGAGGTACAGTTGTCCCAACTCACTTGAAGAAGACTGAACTGGCAAATAAAGTTGACTAACGCCCGTTTTTACCATCAATCCATAATTTTTAAGTGACCCCTATGAAAACAAAATTCCTGTTATTTAATATCCTAGGGGTCACTTAAAATTAGGGATTGATGGTGAAAATGGGCATATAACTATTTGCTCTTGTCTTACTTTTCTTTGTCACTAGTGTTATTCCATAACTCTACTAAAGTAGAGTCACACTCACTGTGGGCGCCCGTCGCACAGTCGCGACAGCAACATAATTACGCGCGAGCCATAAGGATGGGTAGCTAGGGGTCATTGGACAAAATTCTACGTGCTCACAGACCGGACTTTTAAGGTGCTAGCAAATACTTATTTATTTATTTAAACTTTTATGCCAAAATAAATTTGAACATAAGGCGAACTTAATGCACTAAAGCATTCTCGACCAGTTTACCTTTGGGTTGAGCAGAAAATAAATTTGTTTGGCGGTACTTCTAGTGCAGGAAAGAAAAACAAAAACAAATATGCTACATACATAAATAATATATAAAATATATAATAAATAAATACATACATAAAATAGATGATTGAGTTAAACTGAAATTACAATTAATGAAGATGAGATCATTTTGAGGAAGTGATTATGGACAGATTTTTTAAAAGAAAACTTACTAGACGCTTGCCTGGTCTCTTCAGGCAGAGAGTTCCAGAGCCTTATGGCCTGGAGACGGAAGGAGTCAGAGAGAAAACCAGTTCGGTGAAGAGGGGTGGAAAGAACGGATTTGTTGGAGGAACGGAGCTGACGTGAGTGCGTAGAGCTGAGAAGATTAAACTGAGACTTAAGATATGAAGGAGAGTTGGGATCATTTAGAATTGAAATAAGGGTACAGAGAATTCTGACTTTGCGTCGAAGTGGGAGAGGCAACCATTGAAGCTGGGAACGGTAAGCGGAGATATGGTCATATTTACGGAGACAGAAAATAAAGCGAATGGCATTGTTGACAAGGCGATCCAACTTTGTAAGTAGATCTTGATTCAGGTCGGGGTAACAGACGTCGGCATAGTCGATTATCGGGAGGACAAGAGCTTGAATGAGGGAAATTTTCGTTTTTGTTGGGAGGAAGTTTTTGAGCCTCCAGAGGGAGCGCATTGTGGCTGTAACCTTCCGACTGACCTCTGCAACCTGTACATTCCAGCTGAGCGTGGTGTCCAAGTGCAAGCCAAGGTTTTATTATCTTATCTATCTATCTGTCTGTCTAAAGGGTGGTACTCACTGAGTTCAGTATCGCAGTCAGTATACTCGTGGTTGCAGTCGACGGTATAACCGGCGACGCGCGCGGCAAGCACCGCCGCGCACCACAGCGCCACTGCGCGTGCGCACACCCTCATCGCGACAGCCGCATTATACACTGTAAACAAAACAAAGTAAAGTAAAGTAAACATTTATTTGCTGCACACAAAGCCACAACATGCATTGTTCGACAAAATTACATAATTCAATATTTAACACGCACATCCTACTTCCTACTAATATCCTACTTAATCCTACTTAATATTTTAAATGGGAAAGTTAGGATGTCTGGATGTCTGTTACTCTTTCACGCATAAACTATTGAACGGATTTTATTGAAACTTTACATTATTATTGTTTATAACCCAGATTAACATATAGGCTATAACTTATGACGATATGTGACAAATAAATTTCAATAAATAAATTCAATAGACGTCCAAAAAGCGCCATATATCAAAAAATCTTTCGAAAAGGTTGACTTGGGAATATTACTAGGTACTCAATGTAGGAAAATATTGTTACTTTCTCTAGTAGGACAAGTCAAGTCAAATCTCTTGCCTGACAAGTCCAAGACCCACTGAGCTACGGAAACATTGGTCAAACTTTGGTAATTTTCAAGTATTAACGCATGTGAGCTAGTTTTTCCGCTGTTCAAAAGTTGCTTGGCCTTGTTTCATAAACCATGTGTGGTTTTGCAAGTTTTTGTAAGACTTGATTCTATAAAATTTGGTCCAAAAAAATAAGGCCCGCTTTTATAGACACAGTATTCTATGTTTTTCTTAACAAGTACCTACGAGTATTATGCATAAAACCAATCTTTGATAGCAAACTCTCTTTTTCAGTACAAAGATTGTAATAATAATATTTTCCAGAATATAGGTAAGTTTGTAAATACAATAGTTGTGTCACTACAATTCACACAATATTTGAGTAACAATTACCTAATAACACGTATGAAGTAGTTATTTTAACATCAACCACAATGTGAACAGCAAACCACACATCGTGTCACGTCTCAGAGCACCACCAATCCAGGTCGAGTTACTTACAGTCAACAATCGCTTTGGGGTTAGATTGACTAAAATAAACTGTCGCAATTTTGTAAGTTGCATCACCTTACTTTAACCATAACTATAACCTTTAACCGGTATTTTTTTTGTCGAGTTTAACAGACTTTTAACGTTTCTTAAAGTTAATATATGTGTTATGACCAGCTATAGGACAGACGACAGCACACCGGACTCTACATTATTGTCGCAAAATCGCTCTTAATAAAAGTAGATAAGGTTCTACAAAGTTTAGCTTGAAGCCCCGTCCTGGAACCATAAGAAAACAGGGATTGTGTAATCTTTATTTTATGAAAATGATCAAAATATTGAAATTTCTCATTTTGCTTTACAGTCAGCGTCGAACACATCTTTAATTCAATTAAAATAAGGTTGTTGTCAACTTTTTGGCCACTTTGGGTGTCACGAAGTATTTGACGCTGACTGCACCTACAATCCTACATGTCTTATTTATGGAAAAAATACTTTATTGCTTTAAACATTCCATACAATTCGAGAATCCACACTCCAGAGGTAAAACATTTCAATAATGTACTATTTTGCACCGCCTAGTTACTCAAATTCTCTGTTTTGCCTAAGGTAGAGACTGCCACATGGCATTAATTACGCCTTTTTGTGTGTGTATAAATAAAGATTTTAAAAATTAACAATATTTGTTTAGCGCTAAGTTGTAAAATGTACATTGTTATACGGAGGTACCTACTTTGCAGATTTTTTCCGCCAGTTAAGCAATTCAATTCCTATAATTAACGGTTGTCTGCAAGTAAAATTGTTTTCGGAAGAACAACAATCGGAGTGTAAAGTTTTTGCGGCACAAAGCGGAGCGGCTATTGTCCGCACAATAGATATTTGATACGGACCGATGAAATTACTTACTCTTATACGTATTACTTACAACTTGTCTCTAAGAATTGACCGTTTTTATGACATACTTGAAACCGTTCTCTGAAATCATTATGCGTTTTATTGTAGGTTTTTTTGTACTTTGGATGAGACATCCGGTTCTTGACTATAATAGGAAATGATTTTTTAGTTCAACTAATTAACAATAATCAGCTTCTAACACCTTTTCTTAATTATTCAAATATTAAGAACAACTTGTAAAATCTCTCAATAAGTAAAAGTCTGTCTAAACTTAACTTTAATTTTGAGCACTCAAGTTTTGTTTTAACGTAGGTATCTATGTGTCATAATATAATTTAATTTATTTCTACGACTCAAAATGTAGGACAATGTCTACAACAGTAGAAAGTTATTTAACATAATAATATTTGTTACAGACAATCGCGAAAGTGATTCACCTGTCAACACAATGTAACTCGTCGTACGACGTCCATTGTGTAACAAATTGTATTAAAATTAGTCCTCACTTTCGTACAAGGTCGTCGTGTAGCAAAAACAGTCAAATACGAGTATACTTATTTACTTAGTTATTAATCAAATTAGGACTCGTAAGGTGACACATAAATCGATATACGTCGTTTTCAGGGCTTAAAAGAATTATTGTAGAGACCTAGGTTACATGAGTAATTGGTACTACCGTTCTATTCATCTATACCTACTTACACTACTTACACAGTATATATATTTATCTACTGTGCTACTTATAAAAGTTAAAACTCAAAGGTGACTGACTGACTGACTGACATAGTGATCTATCAACGCACAGCCCAAACCGATGGACGGATCAGGCTGAAATTTGGCATGCAGGTAGATGTTATGACGTAGGCATCCGCTAAGAAAGGATTTTACGAAACTCCACCCCTAAGGGCGTAAAACGGGATCCACGCGTACGAAGTTGCGGGCGGCCGCTAGTTTATCATAATTTAGGCTATTATGTCTGTTAACACTGTTAATTTTAACTCAAAGTAGTAACTAGGTAAGCGGCACGATGTGAATGTGACTCTAGCTAGATGATAAAGCTGAAAACTAACTTGCACTTTTGTTTTCACAGACTTTTATTTTATAATTGCATGTCGAAAGCTGCTAATTGCTATTTGGCTGGCCATTTTTTATTTTTGTCGGTACCAGTGTCCGAGGATAAATTAAATAACTTAATAAATTACGATTATAGTGATTTAGCGTCGCGTTAGTATCAAATCTAATTTATTTCTTTTTTACAGATTATTGGCGAAATTTTATTTCCATCTGTCTGGGACTTGCTAGTGGTAAGAAAAATTAAATTGGACATTTTAGTTTTACTGTGCACTATAAAAAGAAAAGGTTAAGATAGCTTTAATAAACGATCACACTTTAAGTTAAATATTGTAGCTTATATGCAATTTGTAATAAAGAAAAGAAGAAAGAAAGAGACTTTATTGATCACAATAAGCACAAATTATAAACAATAACAACACAAAACGAAACGGGCATGTCAGGAAACTGGTCTTCCGCGAGAGCCCTAATAATAAGTGCTATTTGGCTTCAAAATTGTATAATTTAATGCACTGTTGACTGATAATTAAGTATGAGAGTATTAATAGTTACCAGACAACGAATTTATACATACATAAGTATCATTTTTTGGCTGAGAACTGAAGTGTAGGCCAAACTCTCCATTTACCTCTAGTAAATAAGAGTGGATCGTGCTCATGCAGTAGATGTTGCTGATGAAGATGAAATTACTATGTAAATAGTTAGATACATAAGTAGGTACAGTCGCGGAATGAAAAGGTTCGTCACCTTAGTGTCGGTTTTCGCTTGCACTAGGTACTGTAAGAGTCAAACCTGCCAACATTACAGTGCAAGAAACAGTGCTGCTAACATTTAAATAAATATGACGTTTGCTAACGAATAAGGTTTTGCTTGTTTATTTTTCTATCCCATCAGTGCAATGCAATGATTACATTGAGCAATTGACAATAGTTTTTTTTTTTATTTAATAGAAGTAATAATGGCAGGTTGAACCAACAAGGTTTTAGTTTATCAATCATAATAATCTTCTTGACAAGATAAATCGTCAAACGACTTTGATCTGAATAATTTTGAATTTTACTGACGAACAGTTAAAGATTATTTTCTCTAACTCGAGATTATTCTGTCACATAGTTTCAAAAGGTAATATGTGCTCGCGATTCGTTGAAGGAATCAATTTGAAAACTGACGAACCTTTTCATTCCGTGACTGTACATATTTGACATAGAAAACACCCAAATCAACACAAACAGACATGATATTGAGATGGATCTCCTTTTTCGCGTCGGATGCGATGGCGTAGGCACCTGCTTTACTCATCTTTCACTTTCACCGTGCGCGGGCGCACGCGCGTCTAATGTACCAATTCACTTGATCAATAAATTTTTATGCGAATATTTAGGCTTGCAAGATTAAAATACGAGCATTATTTTAAAATTATGTAATGTGATTCATTAAAAGACTTTAATGTTGTTTATCCAGAGGTGCTAGTTTGATTTCCATATTACATAGGTATGGAGCAAATACCATACAGGCTTGAATCAACTTATTTCCTTCTTTTTTTTTCTGAAAAGAAATAATATTTTAGGAGGAAATTAAAGAGAGAGTCAAGTGGATAGAGTCATTTCAGGTGCTTAATGTTATAATTTTGTGATATCAATCAGTATTCGTGCTACTAATTTAGCCAATGATAATATACAATAACATGACATCATTTTGCTGCACATTTTTCTTACTCATTCTACGGGAAAGCTGTGTTTTAATATAGAGCATGCCAATCTATACAGTGGTGTCATCGTCCTACATTTACACACCTTTAGCATCAGATACTGGTAGCACACGCAGTTTTTTTCGATCCAATCTTTCGGCGCATATCAACAAAAAGATTGCCCACAAAAAGAGCGAGACAACAAACATGGAAATGCAATCAAAACAAAAAGCGATTGTTACCTGACTGAGGGATCGCCGGTCAAGTGTTACTCTTCACGCTTCACGAAAGAAATCTTCGAGTTTTTATTAAAATGAATACCCGAAGAGGTCTCGATTGGACGTGCATTTTATGGCATACAAGAAAAGCGAAAGGCAGCAATCTCGTCTTAAGACGGATCTTAGATCTTACGAGCACTTTATAGCT